TAATAATTAATAATAATAACCGTTAAAAATGGAGAAGGGGGGGGAAGTGGGATATATATATTTTATACAAATCGAAATACGGAAATTCACACAAAATGATGGGCATCAGAAAAACATATGCGAATATGTATAGTTTCAATATATATATACGTAAAACTACGCATTCCAAATACTCGTAATATGGGTATACAGATATATATATATATGCTTGTATATAATAAAAAAAAAAAATAAAAAAAAAAAAAAAAAAAGGAACAAATAATCTTTCTATAGTAGAACGAACAAGGCGTACATGGGATACAAGCTGTATAAATGTGCATTAATGAAAATGTCGTAATATAACGGGGATATATATATGTATAATCTGCTATATCCTATAATAGGACAGATTCGACAATCTGGCCTCTTTCCACCGATCTCTTCCTATTCGTATATATTGCAACTGTTAAAAAATTGCATGTAATACGTACATGTATTTTTCGTATTTTTCTAATTCTGTCAAACGAGGCAATCAAGATTAATTTTATATATATATATAACTTTGCGAGAAAAATGAAATTCTTCTTCGAAGTAGCCACAAAAGAGAGAAAGGAAAAGCTTTCAACGAGCTTCAAAAATTGAGCTTGAAATTTCTCGTTTAAAACGTAGGCACCCTCTTTCAGTACAACCCTATTTGAATTCGGTGAAAATGCGAGATAAATAACGACGAGTCTGCACTCTTGTTCCTATTCTCCTACTCGAAATTTCTTCTTGTATACGTATGTGTACATATATATATATATATATATATATGTACACATATATATATCGATGAAACTGATTGACTGACTATTATATTAGACTCTACATTTTCCAACAGATCGGGGAAAAAATTCAGAAATTTTTATTCCACATAACTTTTTTTTTTTTCTATACTTTTTTATCCATCGTTCAGAAATTTAATTTATCCCCTTACCGAAGTTCATCATTCTCGTTCCGCGTCATGATACATTTTAATAACCGTTTTCGTATTTTAAAAATTGTTGAGTGCACACGATTCATTCAAATCATATTGAATCGAATATCAGAAACCAGACTTGCACGAGTGGATCTTTTGTATATCGTTGTTAAATTTTGTGATATATTAATGATTTATGAGGGGGAAAGAGAGAGTGGAGGGGGAGGGGAACGATCAAAATGATCGATCGAATTATACGTTTATATATATATATATATATATGCACGTATACTTTAAAACAGAAACGAAAATTTTCGAATGTATCGTTCGAAAATTCCTAGAAAAAAAAAAAAAAAAAATAAAATAAATCGAATTGTCACGCGAAACGATAGATGATACATGCTCCACAGGAATGAACGAAAGGGTTCTACTACTTTCTTCATGTGCAGCAGTTAATAAATAAAAAAAAAACTAGATAACATTAGTCCTATATATATATACACACATATATATATATATAGTGTTAACGTTTGCATATATTAGTCATGCACAAATACAAATGTTATTCTAACCAAATACAAAAGAGAAAGCTTGGGGATCTAATAATATCGCAATTGGCTTTGTTCTTGCAAGCTGCTTTTTTTTTTTTACGTGCGCGTCTCATCCTCAGATTTATGTGAGTCGAATATAATAAATAAATTTTTGTCTTCTTTTCAATTTTTCAGATTGAATTACGCGCACGACCTAAGTTTATTTTTTCCTTTTTTTTTGCTTCCGTTATTCGCGCGAATCGAATAAGTGAAGAGAATCGAGAAGGTGGAATACAATCGCAATGAAATACGCGCGAGAAATAAAGAGCGAAGGTAGGAAGAGTAAAAAGAGTAAAAACGCGATTGGATTCGTATTTTTTCACGAAACGAAACGAGCAGAATGTAAGTAACGATAAGTTTCACATAAACCTTTGATTCCAACGGTGTTATATTTTGGCCAAAGCTTAATTCGTTTACGTATATATACGTGTATATATACGTATAATATACGTACACGTATATATTTCGATATCAATAGTTATATTACCTCTAAAAAGTTTATTTTACACGAATCTACGAGCATCCTAGGCCTTCTTTTAAAATCGAAAAAAAGAAAAAAGGTAGAAGCATAGTCGAAACGTAGCACAACTTTTTTTTTTTTTTTTTCTATTGGTAAAATAATCTAATTTTTCTTTTTTT